TATCTCTTGGTGGAAGAGCATGGAGTTAGAAAGCAAGTGTCTCATACGCATTTGGGACTTTCAGTTCAGCGTTTGGTCAGTTGCACACAAAAGTAAGTTTCCTTAACCTTTCTTTTAGGCTTCTGTGAAAGTACAGATGAGCTGAATAATGCTGTTATTTCATGAACTTCACAATAACAGGATCCACAATTTTTATGCAATGAAGGATTTGAAGACCACTACTTGTTTTAACCCCATAATTTGCTGAAATAGGGCACAGAGGGAAAATATGAAACTGAACTATATACATATTTTAGTCATCAAATCAATTGGCAATGAAATAAAAAAGATTACGTGGAGAAAAAAAAATCTCACCTCAGTATCTCTCCTTTTCCTTTAAAGGAGGAGGAGAAGTGAGAGTGGAAACTCATCCCTGGGGGTTTAACTGGCTGGCAGCGGCTTCATATACTGCTCACAGCAGCAGATCCCTGTATCCTTAAAATACATCTCATTTAATGCCAATATATTTTTAAAAGCAACTGAGTTTACACATAGTACCAAGTGATGTGCTACAATAAAGCAGCACAGGGGTTAAATTAAAAGTGGAGGAAATAACCTGGCCAAAAAAACTGGGAGCAAAATTAGTCTGTAGGTTTTATTTAGACATCTGGTTTTCTAGACGAATTAGGATTCCTGAGATTCTTTCTCATTTGATTGATAGATTTTGTTTAAAATAGATCCTAATATTTTATTCCTATTAAGAACTACTGTAGATTACTTTGTTGTAATTATATTTCATTAATAAAGATGATAAAATATGTAATATCCAATTAAGAGATCGGCCTATAAACTCTGAAAAATGTTTCTGTATCATCTTACAAAATTACGAGGCAAATCAGGTTTTTTTGACAGCAGCATTCCACTTTTCTTGTGGGTTAAAAATAGCTAAAATTTTTGTTATATCTAAGAATACTACCTAAAATACCTAACAATCAATCAAGTTTCATAAGTCCTCTTTTCAAAGAGGTTACTCCGCAATGTTTAACTGTCTTACAATTCATATTATCAAGCCATAGATTTTAAAATAGTTTATAAATATTTTGTGGTCAAAAACATTACTGCAAGGCCATCCTTTCTGTGATCACCAGTTTGGGAAAGGCAATTATTCCCATGTGTGCAAAACTGCCTAAATAACGGACTGCTTACAACTACAATATATTATGCAGTTATCAGCTACTTAGCTTTCATTTGAAGGGTTCAAACAAGTTAGTGCAGCCCCAATTGGCTAGTGGCATGGTATAATTATTTGTAGAGCTAATTCTACAGCAAATTTCCTATGGAAAGAGAAAAAGAGGACAAGGTTGCTACTTGTGTTAAATGCCTACCTGAAGCAGATAACCCTACCAGCTGATTTTGACTAGAGAATCTGTCTCAACTCTGGAAATGAAATTACTAGACTGAATAGATTCGTTTTCTTGCAGTATATTTAGAGAAAAAAATTTGTTTCACTTTTATCCACTTCAATTTTTTTTTTTTTTGAGATGGAGTCTTGCTCTGTCACCAGGCTGGAGTGCAGTGGCATGATATTGGCTCACTGCAACCTCCGCCTCCAGGGTTAAAGCTATTCTCCTGCCTTAGCCTCTCGAGTAGCTTGGACTACAGGTACGTGCCACCATGCCTAGCTAAGTTTTGTATTTTTAATAGAGACAGGGTTTCACCATCTTGGTCGGGACAGTTTCAATCTCTTAACCTTGTGATCTACCCACCTTGGTCTCCCAAAGTGCTGGGAGTACAGGTGTGAGCCACCATGCCCCGCCTATCCACTTCTATTTTTATGAATTGTATAGATAAGTCTCTGGTACATAAGACAAAGAAGTTTGTGGCATCTAGCTGAAATCTTCTTTAAGGACTCCCAGGGATGTGGTACACATAAAAGGGTACCCTATATCCTTAAAAATATATACATAGTTTGAGAATTCTGTCTGTGGAATAGGTAGGAGATGACAGCTTGTTGTTACTTAATGTCCACAAGCCATTTTTATAAAATCCAAAGCACAGATTGTAGAATCAAATAGTATATGATCTAAGGTACTGTTGTCTTTCGAAAGTGTGCAATTGAGAAATGCTCAATTGAGAAAAATATCTGAGCTTGTTCTTATCTCTTAGAAATTACATAATTGGCAGTTTTTCTTTAAAAGGGGTAACATGTTAACAAACAAAGATTGCTATGTTAGGGAAGACCTTCATATTTATTATGTGTTTATTTAAACTGAATATGAGTAATCTAGAAGAAAATTCGTTTTAATATATTTAAAATAATATTTGCTATTTATAGCTTCTTTGACCAGATTATTCTCCAACTTAATTTATTTTATTTTTTTCAGAGACAGTGTCTCACTGTCACCCAGGCTGGAATGCAGTGGGATGACCATAGCTCTGTAATCTCAAACTCCTGGGCTCAAGTGATCTTCCCAATGTAGCCTTCCCAGGAGAAGAAATACAGGCCTGTGCCACCATGCCTGGCTAATTTTTGAAATATTATTATTATTATTATTATTTAAACGGAGTTTCACCTCTATTGCCCAGGCTGGAGTGCAATGGCTTGATTTGGCTCACTACAACCTCTGCCGCCCCAGGTTCAAGCAATTCTCCTGCCTCAGCCTTCCAAGTAGCTGGGATTATAGGTGCCTGTCACTGTGCCCAGCTAATTTTTATATTTTTAGTAGAGACGGAATTTCACTATCTTGGCCAGGCTGGTCTTGAACTTCTGACCTCATGATCCACCCACCTCAGCCTCCCAAATCTGCTAGGATTACAGGCATGAGCCACCATGCCCGGCCTTGAAATATTTTTAAAAAGACAGGGTCTCAGGCCAGGCATGGTCGCTCACATCTCTAATTCTAGCACTTTGGGATACCAAGGTGGGCAGATCATGAAGCTAGGAGTTTGAGACCAGACTAGCCTGGCCAACATAGTGCAACCCCATTTCTACTAAAAATACAAAAATTAGCCAGGCATGGTGGTGGGTGCCTGTAATCCCAGCTACTCGGAGGCTGAGGTAGGAGAACTGCTTGAACCTGGGAGGCAGAGGTTGCAGTGAGCCAAGATCATACCACTGCACTTCAGCCTGGGTGACAGAGCAAGACTTCATCTCAAAAAAAAAAAAAAAAAAAAAAAAAAAGAGACAGGGTCTCACTATGTTGTTCAGGTTGGTCTTGAACTCCCGGCCTCCAGCAATCCTCCCATAGTGCTGGGAACTCCCACTTAATTTATATTCCCTTTTGAAATTTTAAGATACTTTCACTCAATTTTTTTATTACCCAGTTTACATAATGATTACTTTAAAATTTTTACTTCTTCAGAGACTCCTTTGTATCAAGCTTCTCTGCAGAGCAGACTGCATGGAAATTTTTAGGAGGGTCAGAGATGGGAGTATAGGAGTAAAGAAGTATGTGTCTATCACGCCTTTGTGCTAAGCAACTTTGCAAAGTGGGGACCCTGTTTCTGGCTCTCATTTTGAATAAAACAGAGAAAGCAAAACAAAATTTCCCATATAATACCAGGTCAGGTCTACAATTAGTTGCAGAAGCAAAGGCTCTTGCATCTTATTCGAAGGACTCAAGTCAACTAATTGGGTCTGCAATTAGCCTCTTCAGTTGCAATCAATTACAAGTGCAATTTCTGCGTGCGAACTAATTTTGTGTATAAAAGCAGTCTCACCAAAACAAAAGCCTAACTTAGAAAAGAATTCAGATCTGTCTTACTTAGATCGTAAGAAGAAACAAATTTCTTTCATGAACCATGAAGAAGACCAAAACTAAAAGTCTCTGTGCAGTGCAAATATTTTCTTAACTTTCTGTAAGTACTTAGATCTAAGTATTCCAGAATCTAGAAAAGATTGCCTTGTTTTGTTACTACTGATATTTTACTAATTTTAAAATAATTATATTTATACAGTAATTTAAAAGTTTTTTCTTTTCATATTACTGTTTAAATATGTTATGTTTCTATACTACACATAAGTATACAAACTGGTTATACTCACATATGAACATGAATACACTGCAATCCAGAATTCTATTGCAATAGATCACCTAATGCATTGCTCTACGTAAAAGACTAACAAAGAGCTATATGAATGTGACATGGAGATTCAATGCGTTGTGCTGTTTGTCAAAACTCTACCAAGTTAGCTTAGGAAATGTGACCTCACCAAGGAAATTTAATACACTAGTTAGACGCAAAACAAAACAAAACAAAATAGGCAAACAAATCCCAAACATGTTGACAGCAGCTCATGTCTTAAAAAGAAACTCCAATGCAAATTTCTGAAATTCCCAACGTCATTTTGGCATACCTATTTTACCAGTGTGTTTCAGACAACAGCTTTTAAGTTCCCCAATTCATAAATGTAATTAAATAATTGCATTAGTGCTAATTAACATGAAACTGCAGATTATTTAAGCGCAAAAAACACTATTCAACTTCTTAATTATTCTTGTTCACACAGCATTTCCTTTTGCTCAGGCGCCCTAGGTGCAAATAAAGCATCCCATCTGCTCGTAATTAGAACTAAATAATTTCAGAGAATGTAGCTTATCATTTTGACTGCACATTTGATTAAAAACAGTGTACAAGCAATATCCTGGCTTATTGGCGTAACAGCAGCAATACATACAAGCCTGTGTTCTTCTATCATTAAAGAAGATCGAAGACATTATCTGTTATTTCAGGGGGAAAAATACAACTTTTTAGTTCATTTCATACAGATGAAAGCGAATTACAGCAAATCACCTCTCCACTGAATAGCAGCCCCCACATAATGACTTTATTTGCTTAATCCCCAAATTAGACGCCGTTTCGAGCGAGGGCCCTGTGTTATTACTCTCATCATGTCGAGAACATTTTCCTGCCGAGACCAATTTGAATAAAACAAGGGGCCTTCCTTGAACTCAATCAAGGAGCCATAATGTGGTGGGTAATAGAGGTTGCTGATAGATTTGCAGGCAAAAGTGTTATACCTAATGACGGGATATGGATAATAGTCCTCCTGGAGGTCCTGATGCGATTCCAGTTGGCTGCCAGATGCTAAAAATCAAGAAGAGCATTGATCAGTGACAGGAAGCTGTAGTGGATTCATCTAGCCAAACTTCAGCTGTTTTTCCACTGTACAGTTAAGCCAGGCATAAATTATATTAATTGATTTAATTACATACTTAAAACATCTTCCCCAATTAATTTAATTAGGTGGCTACATGATGCTACTGGCAGGGGAAGATTAGAGGCAGCTCACTTAATTAACAGAATATGAATGAAAAAAAGAGAAAGCAAACATAAATGAAATTGTGAGCACTAATTAAAAGGCTGTCTGCAAACTTAAATACTTTCTGACAAAGTGGTGACAGCAATGTAGACAAGACAGAATTTTTTTTTTTTTTTTCTGAGCAAATTAAAGTGCCAGAAGGTATATATAGGGAGAAAAGGTAATGTAGTTAAAACATTGATTTTCTGACAGAACTACCATATTCAAAGTGAAGGGACTTTTTTTTCTATAGAAAAATTGCAACAGATTTTGCAGGCACAAAAGCCAGATTCCTGATTAGGGCTAAAATATGATGCACAAATGTAGGTTTTGTGCATCATACGTTGAGGGGAGTGAAAGGCAAGAGAGTCTGAGGGGGGAGGGTAGTTGGAGAGAGAAAGGGAAGATAAAGAGACAACTTATTGCAATCACTCAAGCATGAAATGTTTAGAAGAAGAGTTCTGCCTTAACAGCTGGCAGCCTTGTGAACCTTGGCTCGAATGCGGAAATTCTCCAGGTGTCTCTGACGTGATTCCTTTAGTATCTTCTTTAGTCGAGTCTTATGGCAATGTAACAGCCAAGCAATGGCAATCACACCTGATGCCCACTTCTGCCGCCGATGAATGAGGAAGAATTTTCTGGCTTTGTAGCATTTCCATGTGGCTTGGATCTTTATGGCAGCCTCCGTCTCTCCATCTTGGCCCTTGTACCTTTGGCCTGGAATATTCATCAGCATTTGAACATGAGCTGGGTCCTCTAACACTGAGAGAAAGTCATATCTGGTAAGTTTATTCTTCAGCTCAAACTCTGGAAGGAGGGCCACCAAATGATTCCCTTTAATTTTGACTTCTGGTATTGCATAGTTCCTGAGAAACTTCGTGACATGTTCCAAGAGAGAAAAAATACCTCCCCAAGCTAAGTTAAAATGTTCCTTGAATGCTAAGAAGTCTGGGGCTGTATTGTCTACGACACCGTCATAAATTAAAAAGTCATAATCCCACGGTGATTTCAGGACTCTTGAAGGTGTTGTGACTTTCAAGGCCTGTGGAGTAAGAAATATATTTAAGAAGTGAAAGATACTATGATCTCCTTTAAATGAAGTTAAGACACACACTATCACATTATCATTAAGCATTCAATGGTGGGAAGATACGAATCCTAGTACTGATTTAACACACACACATTTTAATATGAAAGTCTGGCTAGCATATATTATTAAAACTCATTATCAGATGGATATCTTAGAGAGCACTCAAATCTATTAACATTTTTATAAAAGTATTATAAAATTGTACAAGGAAACTGATCATAAAAAAATTATGCAGTTAGTTTACTTTGATACAGTCACCTGACCCCTAATCTCTGTGATTTAGTTTTTACACATGCACACATGGTCTGAGAAGTGTTGCTGATACCCTGTTCATAACTTATCCACCAGTCTGAAAAACAGGGTGAAGCCTTCTTTGCAATTCTTAGGATAACTTCAAATGTGCCCATTAAAAGTTGTTTCTGACTTCATAAAAGATCATCACTTTTTAGTATTTTATAGTTCTTCTGCCACCTTCTCCTAATATCAAGAGGTCATTTTTACAAGGAACATTATGTTAACACGTTATCACCTTTGTCATTCTTAGGTTTCTCTTGAGAAGCTTTCTTTTATTCTTAAGTCTGGTGTCTTCTTAGGAACATATCTGGGGCTGTCCCCAGGTGGATTAGAATCAGAAATCTGGTAACAAAACCAAGGGAACATTTGCTTTTCATTTTGCTTTTATCTGTATGGATATTTTAAGCCATGGAAATATTTAATTTATAATTAGCAAGAGGGGTTTTCTATGAATTGGATGTTGAGCAATTTTTCTCCTCTTTACAATTTCTATGTTAAAAAATAATCAATGCTATTTAAAAAATCAAATTAGAGGTGGTTTAGATGACAATAGCAGTACATGTCACCCCCCACTTAAAAAAAAAAAGGAAAGGGAAATTTTGTCATGTCAATGTCCACTCTGTAACACTCTATTTCAATTCTCAGAACCTATTGTACTGAAAACATAGACACTCTGCCCATGATCTAAATGTTCCTAATGGCTTGGAGGGGTTGGGGGAGAGGAAGGGTACAGGTTTTCAGGCCCTGAATTCTTGTCAGTAAACCTGGTATTAATTTACTGTAATAATTGTTTCTTGCCTAGGGATATAAGGAATAGATTGTTTTCAATATGTCAGCATTCTCAGATATATAAGCCCACTGTTACCAAACTGTAGGATTATTATTACTCTTTGCATTTTGAAGTTTTTACAAAACTCAAAGAAAAAATACTCCAGCAATTTATCAACAATGATTATGCCACAGCACTGTGTTGAATATTACTATATTAGATTATTCATGTATTTTCTGTACTAAATGTTAACTGAGAGTAATTTTCAAATTCAAGGCAGAAAATTGTCTACAACTAAGCCAAGAGATGAATTTCCAATAAAAGCACAATAAGCAAATGTAAGAAAAAAAATCCTTCTAATTATTTTTCTTTTCTCTGGTCCTGGGTGGTGAAATAATTAATTAGACTGCCATCTCAAGTAAAAATGCTGAAAAACAAGCGTTAAAGTCCCTAAGTGTGAATTTTCTTTCACTTTAGAAGCAGACTTTAAACAGCAGTGAGCTTTAGTGTACTTTTGAGTTGTTATAAGGCATAAAAATGAGGGAAAAAATTCTTCTCACTAAGCTTCTAGCCTTTTCTAATCTAATCAGGGTGCCAGAAGAGAATGCAAGCTGCTTGGTAGATGAAAATAAATTCTTCCTTCTTGGATGGGCAAGAGAAAGTTGGAGAAGTAATGCCTTCTTTAGCAGCCACCAGTGCTGGCTGGAGGAGCTGCCACTCCTGGTAGAAGACAAGTGGCACATGTTCCAACAAAAATGTCCTATGGCCACGTCGCTCTGATAGTAGGAATTAGGATTCAGAGAAGAATGACAGTGCTTCATCAGTGAGAAATAGATATGCAAAAGAACCACAGATCAACATGTTTGGAGCTGGCTGGTCCTGACAGTCACGTGTGATTCAGTCAAGAGGACTCAGACTTCTACAAGAAGCAAAGCTATGAAGGAGAGATTTGCCAGAGAATCTTGTCTCCTTGGCAATATTAAAATATTTTTGAAACTTCTTATCTTCACAGAGAGTCATGTGGAATTAGGACCATCTATGAAAACAGGACCACCTTGTGAGAAGTTGAGAAAGAAGAGGACTCACGTCTCTCTCAGACAATGTCTTTCCATAGGGTGGGTCTAGGGTTTTTATGTACATCAACAAATGCATTTTAGACCTTCTGAAAGAATAGCCTTGGGTGGTGGTGGGGGCAAATTTATCAGTGGCTGTTTTAGAACAAAGGGATTACACCTTTCTACCTTCTTGGATGATATTCCAGCAAAGACCTGTTCTCAAAGGAAACACACTCCTGGACATCAAATAGACCACTCAGGCACTGGGAAGCTATGGGTTTGGAGTCAGCTAAAGCATAACTGTAGTACATCTGTCACAGAGAATACCACACTTGGGAGCACTTTAGACTTGGAGCAAGAAAAGACATGTCTCTCAAGAGAAAGCCTTCCCAAATTAAAGCAGTGCATCAGCATTGTGAGATCCATTGAGCAGGTAAAGACAAAGCTGCTTCACGGCCTACTAGGAATAAGAGTCCTGATTAAAGGTCATGCCATGCTTCAGGTTCTGGCTCCTTCTGTTATTCTTTCTTTATTATTTATCACTGTGAACTTGTCTACTATTATTTGTTGGCTTGCTTTCTTCTTCCTTTCTTTTTCTTTTCCCCTCCCTTTTCTTTCTTCCTTCCTCCCTCCTTCCCTTCCTTCCTTCTTTTCCCTTCCTCCCTCTCTCTTTCCCTCCTTTTTTAAGACGTGCTATACTCCCAATATGATATTACTAACTTAACAGCCATTTTTTTCCTTTTTTTTTTTTTGCAACAGAGTCTCGCTCTGTCACCCAGGCTGGGGTATAGTGGTGCGATCTTGGCTCACTACAACCTCCGCTTCCCAGGTTCAAGTGATTCTCTTGTCTCAGCCTCCTAAGTAGTTGGGATTACAGGCATGTGCCACCACACCTGGCTAATTTTTGTATCTTTAGTAGAAATAGGGTTTCACCATGTTGGTCAGGTTGGTCTCCAACTCCCGACTTTGTGATCTGCCCACCTCGGCCTCCCAAAGTGCTGGGTTTACAGGTGTGAGCCACTGTGCCTGCCCCAATTTTTTTTCCTTCTAGCTGAGATGGATCTCTGTTGAAACACTGCATTCTCACCTGGTCCTTCTTGGGTCACAACCATACTTTTGTGAGATGCCTCTATTCACTAATTGGCCTACACACAGCCCAGACCTGTGGCCTAATTATAAGCATCTTGCTCTAACTAACTAGCTGGGAAATGTTCTTCGCTTGCAAATTGTAATCACTAATTAGATAACTTTGAGAGTTTCTGGAGCAGTTATTTAGGGAAAATTCTAAATCCAAAACAAAAAACAGGAAAGCAGGACGATGATTACTTATGTTAATAAGTCCCAGATGTGAAGCAAAAAAGATAGACCCAGCGTTGCATTCTAAAATTTAGAAATACTAGCTGGGTATGGAGGCACACACTTGTAGTCCCAGCTACTTGGTAGGCTGAGGTGAGAGGATTGCTTAAGCCCAGGAATTTGAGGGTGCAGTAAGCAATGATCATGCTACTGCACTCCAGTCTGGGTGACAGAGCGAGCTCCTGTCTCTCAAATAAATAAATAAATAAATAAATAAAATTTAGAAATAACTACCACAGCCAGGCCTGGTGGCTCTTGCCTGTAATCCCAGCACTTCGGGAGGCCAAGGCGGGTAGATCACGAGGTCAAGAGATCGAGACCATCCTGGCCAACATGGTGAAGCCCCATCTCTACTAAAAATACAAAAATTAGCCAGGTATGGTGGCATGTGCCTGTGGTTCCAGCTACTCAGGAGGCTGAGGTGGAAGAATTGCTTGAACCCAAGAGGTGGAGGTTGCAGTGAGCCAAGATTGCTCCACTGCACTCTAGCCTGGCAACAGAGCAAGACTCCATCTCAAAAAAAAAAAAAAAAAAAAAAAAAAAAGAAAGAACTACCACAAAGAAAATCACATTTCTAAGACAAATGTCTTCATGAAAAATGTTCTTTTCATTTATGTGGACAGTATACTGTATGGGTATAGCATTAAACTGGACCCATAATCAGATACAAGCAGGATCTCATAGTGGCAAATGGCCAAGTATTTGGGATGTTACCACATGGATATCACCTTCAGAGAATAATAATCATTCTGTTGCCTAGAAGGAAAGACTAAATTCCTTTTAAGACTAAAAGTCAATGTTCAGTTTCTCAAATACTCAAACATATCCATTAGTAATTAGCCTAGGCAATTGCACTGTATGAAAAAGAGTAAGTTCTTCCTGCATGTTATGGCTCTCAATAAGAGTTTAGATTCAGAATATGAATGGAACGTCCTTTAGAGATGGAGTCCTTATTCCTTCCCAAAGACCAGGGGTACTATTTTTTTGACCCTGCTTTTAAATTTTTTTAAGGGTCCACAATATGTTGAGCTTTGTATAGAATGAAGATCAGGACCTCAGCTGTTTAGAACTTTTCAAAAGATGTATATGATATTCAGAGAGAATAGCTGACCTAATCAGGGGTCCAGAATTCAGCATAGTCACAGGCCTGAATTTTAAAGGACAAGGGAACTTGAAGGTTACTGGCTTTGCCTTTTGCTCAATAGGCTTTTATTGGCCCAGGGAAATGAGCCTTGGCCTTAAGTCTGACTAACCTGGGTTGAAATCAAAGCTTTGCCAATATCTGCTATATCCTCTTGGGCAAGTTACTGCACCCTCTGAACCTAAATTTCCTTATCTGAGGTCCCCGCAGAGCTTCTATGATGATTAAAGTAAGTGTCAAGAACCTTTAACAGTGTCTTATCCCTAGTCAATGTGGTTTTTACAATAGAGAAGGAAACTGAGGCTCAGAGAGGTTAAATCACTTGCCCAAGATCAGA